TAAGAAAGTAAAGTTCAAGATGGAAAAGACAAGAGGGTGTCACTTTTATTTCTACTGGGTAGAAAGGACTTGGAGGCAAACTTAGTTAAATGTGACCCAGGTCTGATAAAATTTAAAGATTTTAGATGACTCATTGGGTAAGAGAAGGGACCATGAGTGACAGACTGACATTATCTCACTGCCCTCATATGGATTCTGGCCATAGAGGTAAGGATTGAAAAGATGACTCCATGGAATGGATCCCCATCCAGAGAGGATGACCCCATCAGAATGTTCTGATGATCCACAAATACTCTCAAAGGGCCAGCCATACTCCTTTTCTGGTGTTAAATTTGTCTTTTAATTGCCTTATATCATTAGAAGAAGGAGGAAAACTCCATCCCTTAACTAAATTTCATCCTTCCCCTCTGCCTCTCTCTCCCTTATTCTGTATTTATCTCTCAGTGGTACACCATGATTAAAAACAAGGCCATTTTCATTTCAATACTAAAAAAAGTACTGAGATGAAGGACCCAGATTAATGACCAAACACATTTCATTGACAGTGGTGCTGGACAGAGGGTTTTCGTTGTGCCAAGTTGAAAGCTGTCCCTTGAATTTGCCAGACAAATGTGCTTGCAAGTGAAACACGTAGTTGAAATATATTAAGGAAAAATAGGGGAGACATTAAAAGTAACCTGAATAACCCTGAGAACAGAAAGAAAAGCTACTGGGACTAAATCCTTAGAGAGCGGAATCTCAGCAGCCACGGAATTTGTTTTCTGATGTTGCCTTCATTTTCTTAATTTGTTCTAAGAACAAGAGATTTAGCCACTGACGGCTCTAGATTAATTTTCTAAAGTCTTCAGATTGCCCTGCACCTGTACAAATGCATCCCTTCAATTTCCAGGTCTGAGAATCCCAGGAAAGATTGGGTGGCATTCCCACTCTTTGAATGAATATTTTGGCCCAGAGAGTGCAGTTTCTTTATTGGCTAAACCTGTGTGCCTCATGAGCTGCTTGGATCAGCCATTCCTATCATTTCAGCGTTCCAAACAGCAAATCATGAACCATTTGTGAAACAGGATACTCAAGGGAACAGTTGAACAAAACGGAATAATTAAGAACAGTAATCTCAGAATCCTTCCACAGTGGCATATTGTTTGTGAAAACTTTTTTTTTTTTTTTTTTGCGGTACACGGGCCTCTCACTGTTGTGGCCTCTCCCGCTGCGGAGCACAGGCTCCGGACGTGCAGGCCCAGCGGCCATGGCTCACGGGCCCAGCCACTCCGCAGCATGAGGGATCCTCCCGGACCGGGGCACGAACCCACGTCCCCTGCATTGGCAGGCAGACTCCCAACCACAGCACCACCAGGGAAGCCCTGTTTGTGAAAACTTTTAAGTTATTTGTATGCATGTGTATTTCTGAGTGTGATTTTGCTCATATAGTAAAACGGATTTCTTAATGTGTTGCAGGAAAAAAAAGAAAATCTCACTGTACTGCATTGAATATAAATTTGTGTATTTAAATTCTGTCAGTGCTGCTGCTTGTGTAACTCATTACTCACAGCGGCGAGGCAGTTTCCCCTGTTTTGCTTAATAGACTGCATTAGAGCATGATTGCTCACTTAACCCCTGGGCTCCTCATTTACCCATTTAGATAGTAATCAGATGTACTTATTTCCCCTTCTGGGCTTCAGCATCAAGCCTCATTTATACTTGTTTCTCCTGATATCATATGTCTTTAACCCCCCTTCGTCTCCCCAATTTCCCCATAGTCTGATTCCAGTGGAATATTACAGTTCTTTTACTAAGTGTTTGGTATGGCTTTCTGAAATTATAAATGAAAAACTGCTATCAATCACCAAAAAGCACGATTTTATTTTACTTATTAAAATGGCTTCTCATATAACAGTTTGCATGAACTGAGGATAAAAGATTAACACCAGCATTTTAAAAAATTCTTTTTTAATTTTTATTCTATTTTGAAGTGTAGTTGATTAACAAATGTTATGTTAGTTTTTGGTATACAGCATAGTGATTAAGTTATACGTGTATCTGTTCTTTTTCAAGTTCTTTTCCCATTTAGGTTATTACAGAATATTGAGCAGAGTTCCCTGTGACATACAGTAGGTCCTTGCTGGTTACCTGTTTTAAATATAGCAGTGTGTATATGTCAGTCTCCAACTCCCAATCTATCCCTCCCTCCTCTCCTCCCTCCCCCATAACCATAACTTCATTCTCTAATTCTGTGAGTCTGTTTCTGTTTTGTAAATAAGTTCATTTTTATCATTTTCTTCTGGATTTCACATGTAAGAGATATCATATGATGTTTGTCTTTCCCTGTCCTACTTACTGCACTTAGTATGATAATCTCCAGGTCCATTCATGTTGCTGCATATGGCATGATTTCATCTTTTTAATGGCTAATATTCCATTGTATATATGTACCACATCTTCTTTATCCATTCATCTGTTGATGGACATTTATGTTGCTTCCATGTCTTGGCTATTGTAAATAGTGCTTCAGTGAACACTGGGGTGCATGTATCTTTTTGAATTATGGTTTCCTCCAGATATATGCCCAGGACTGGGATTGCTGGATCATACGGTAGCTCTATTTTTAGTTTTTTAAGGAACCTCCATACTGTTCTCCATAGTGGCTGTATCAATTTACATTCCCACCAACAGTGTAGAATGTACTGTTGGTGGGAATGTAAACCAACCTTTTCTCCACACTCTCTCCAGCACTGATTATTTCTAGACTTTCTGATGATGGCCATTCTAACTGGTAAGGTGATATTGTAGTTTTGATATGTATTTCTCTAGTAATTAGTGATGTTGAGCATATTTTCATGTACGTCTTGGCCACCTGTATATGTTCTTTGGAGAAATGTCTATTTAGGTCTTCTGCCCATTTTTTGCTTGGGTTGTTTGGTTTTTTGATATTGAGCAGCGTGCGCTGTTTGTAAATTATGGAGATTAATCCCTTGTCGATCGTATTGTTTGCAAATATTTTCTCCCATTCTGTGGGCTGTTTTTTCATTTTGTTTATGGTTTCCTTTGCTGTGCAATAGCTTTTGTGTTTAATTAGGTCCCATTTATTTATGTTTTTATTTCCATTACTCTAGGAGATGGATCAAAAAAGATAGTGCTGCGATTTATGTCAAACAGTGTTCTGCCTATGTTTTCCTCTAAGTTTTTTAGTATCCGGTCCTACATTTAAGGCCTTTAATCCATTTTGTGTTTATTTTTGTGTATGGTGTTAAAGACTGTTCTAATTTCAACACCAGCATTTTGAAGTAGCCATAATTAATATTACATTGAATATAAATGACTCATTGAAATGCTATTTTTTTTGAAACTTGGTCACAGCTCCTTTTCTGAAAGATGGCTCTGAAGAGAACTGTTGATTTCCAATATAATTATTTCCCAGTTAATTGTGAAGCATTACCCTGCAGGTGTTACTTGCACCTAATTTTATTTTCCTTTTGTTATAGCAGAATCCTTTTAATATTTCTAAATGATTTGTCTAACATAGTCCAGAATAGTATTAAAATATGATAAAGGGCTTCCCTGGTGGCGTAGTGGTTGAGGGTCCACCTGCCAATGCAGGGGACGCGGGTTCGTACCCCGGTCCGGGAGGATCCCACATGCCGCATAGCGGCTGGGCCCGTGAGCCATGGCCACTGAGCCTGCGCGTCTGGAGCCTCCGCTCCGCAACGGGAGAGGCCACAACAGTGAGAGGCCCGTGTACCGCAAAAAAAAAAAAAAAAAAAAAAAAAAAAAAAAAAAAAAAAAAAAAAGATAAAAAGTCTGCTAACAGTAACTACTATTATTCCACTAAGAAACAAAAACTATCCAACTAAACATACTAGCAAATGTTAAGCATCTTCTGAATTTAACAAGACTATTTTTCTTTGGCTTTATAAAGTGAATTGTTCGCTTTCACTCAACATTGAAACAACCTCACATTCTTAGGTCCCCATTTGTCATTGTTTGGTAATTTTTTAATGGGCTGCCAAAGTTAGTTCACATTTAATGGAGATTTATGGGTTATTTAAAACTTATATCGCACTGCACTTAGTAGCATGCTTTTTTCATTAAATTTTATATTTCTTCAAAAATTTATATTTTTTCATAATCGAACCACTTCCTTAGCCATAGATTTCTCTTTTCCTTAAATATCTAAGAGGATGGTAGCTCATCGACTTTTTTTCCCATTTATCTTAGTCCTCACTGCTTTCTAGGTTCAATTTAAACAATTTATATTTTTCCAGAAACTTACATTTCATCAGTCTATGTTTTTGTAATTTTAGAACACTTCAATTCTATATATAGGTTTGGGTATACGTTTATAGACAAGAGTAGTGTTCAAATTTTAACTTGGCAACTGTTTAAGGAATTTTAAAATTATAAACATGTAGATTTTTGTTTTGTGTTGTTTGGAAATTTTTGATGCTTTCATTTTCGTACAAAAATTTTGTATTTGGCTGCTTTGTCAGTTGTCTCTGTGGGTGTTTACTCATAGGCAGTGCTAAAAGATCAACAAAATATTTTGCTTCACTTTCAGTGGTTAAATCTGTTGAATTCAGAGCCTACTATTCCTGAATAATTGGTGGTAGAAAGCTGCCTTGTCACATTACTTACCCACTCTAATATTGATAGTATTTTCCCATTAAAATGGTCTTGAGATTTATCCTACACACTATCAACCTCTTTGCTGTTTTTCATGTAATTAGCTGTCAAGTATGTCTTTTATCTTTTGGCTTAATATGTCATGCTTAGAGATTTCAGGATATGGAACCATCCTAGAACTCTTGGAAATCCCTTGCTAGAAGGCACTTGAGAGAACAAGAAGCCTTGGTGCATGCTGATTTGCTAGCTGCTTGGCTGACATTCTGTAGACATGCTCTCCAAACATGAGTTAAGCCAAAAGCTGCAACTTCACAAGTCTTTCTTTGCTTTTATTTTAATCCATTCATTTAGTCTAACTTTATCCTCCCTAAAGATCATGCGTCTTAACTCTTTTTCTTGGGAATTGTGTTCATTGTTAAAACAATCCGAAATTTGCTTCTTTCCCCAAGGAGAATGGCATCTCCTCCAACCCCACCCCCATCCCACCAGGAGCCCGCTAGGATGTTTGCTAGGATGTTTGCTCTACTGTCATGGGCCGCATTGCCCGCCAGCTCCAGGATCTCGGCCGTCAGGTACTCCAGCACCGCTGCCAGGTAAACCAGTGCGCCGGCCCCAGTCCTCTCGACGTAATTGCCTTTGCGGAGAAGGTGGTGGACTCGGCCCACAGGGAACTGCAGGCCGGCTCGGGACGAACAAGATTTGGCCTTAGTACGTGCTTGCCACCCTGCTTGCCACATCCAGACGTTCCTATAAGAATACTAATCTGTTATAATGGAAACAAATACCGTTAGAGCAGGTACGGGGTCTATTTATAGTCTTACGGTGGGTTGTGATTTACTATTTGATTGGCTGATGCCCTTATATCCAATCAGAGAACCATACTGGAATCACCTCATTTACATACACGTCACTACCCATTATCCAATCAGATGTGAGCTGCCCAATACGTCATCTGAGCTCCGTGCATATAAATATCACGCTTCAGCGTAGCAACCACCACTGGTTTCCTGTTTTAGAGCTGTAGGTTAACCATGCCGGAGCAGAGTTCTAAGAGCAGTGCTAGTTCAGTGAAAGGCTATAAGAAAGGCGTGACTAAAACTCAGAAAAAAGAGGAGAAAAAGCGCAAGAGATGTCGCAAAGAGAGCTATTCACTTTATATCTATAAAGTACTGAAACAAGTTCATCCAGATACTGGTATTTCTTCAAAGGCTATGAGTATTATGAATTCACTTGTTACTGATATATTTGAGCGCATTGCAGCGGAGGCGTCCCGCCTGGCGCGTTACAACAAGTGTTCGACCGTCACATCCAGGGAGATCCAGACAGCAGTGCGCTTGCTGCTTCCTGGGGAGTTGGCCAAGCACGCAGTGTCCGAGGGCACCAAGGCTGTCAGTAAATACAGTAGTTCCAAGTAGAGAAATTCAACCACCAGACGACTTTTGTAACCCAAAGGCTCTTTTAAGAGCCACTTAACTTTCTAGAGAGTTGTAGGCTTTTTACTTGGCTGCTCAGTGTGTGTGGGCAGGCTTACTCTTAGAGTGAGCTATAGCTGTTATGCTAGTAACTGTCAGATTCACTTTGCTGCCTTTAGTGTGGTTAAGAAATATGTAGATAACTCGTCCGTCTCACGTGACTATTAACCAGAATGATTTCAGGTGAAATCCCAGATCTCTTAAGCATATTAAAGAATAGAGCTCTCTTGAGTTGAAGAGAGCTCCTTTAAGTCTGTCTTAAGAGAGGGTGGGTCGAGTGCCATGAGAAACGCGGCTTGCTCACGTGGCTTGCTCTTCTCTGGGTTATGTCCTGTTTTAAGTACTTTCTATCAAGAGACTGAAAGGGAACTGAAGCTGTGGAAAGACAAAGAATATAGGCAAGTTCAGCATGGGAGTGTTAAGGCTGTTTTGCTTCCAGTCTACATTTTCTGTAGTGTGTGAAAATTCTTCCTATGGATCAGGTTAGGTGCCCTACAGCTGCTGAGATTTCGAGTCCAATAGTTCCTTGGTCTGGTGATGTCATCTGTACATTTTTGGGGTGTCTAAACAAGGCTGTTTGTTAAAAACAGCTTGATATTGGAGTGTGGAGGTCTTGCCATATCAAGTAATCCATATTGGAGTCACACAATCTGGCTAACCACAACCGACTGGCAAACAGAAGTAACACTGAATTTTGGGGGGGCGTTACTTTTCTTCCAAGTTATAATAGGATCACTTGCATTTTGTTTTATGAGAGGATCATTAAATTTGTGTTTGTGTCCTATATTACTGGACTCCAATACTAACATGTTCCAAATTGGGTCATAGGGTGTTTATCAAGTCAAGGGACTTTGGGTGCAAGATCTACTCTGTCACGATCGTCTGGACTCTTAGCAGACAAGCATTAAAAAGTGACAAATGACACAAATTAACATTAAAAAAGATCAAATTATTACTACTTCCCACAAACCAGTAGTTTAGCTGGACTCAATTCGTTAATTTATATTTTTCATTCTTCCCTTTTAATAAGATTCCGTGCTCATGTGTGTCTACCTTACAGTTAAAAAATACTTTAGTATCATTTGGTAGAATATGTGTACTAAAACTCCACAGGAAAAAAAAAGTGCCCTACATTTCTGCACAGAAACAGACCCTACAAGAACCTCTGAATATCTTAACTGGGAATCATCCAAGGAGTTAACAGATGGGGCATCTGTGCCACATTGTCTGGGAGTGGAGGCATCATCTCCAAGCAGGGGTCCCAGCTGCCGTCATAAGATCCTGTGAAACAGCAGATGTCTGTATAGCTCCCAAATCCTTGTCAACTCTTGAAAAGCATGCAGTCTTTCCATGCTGGTTTTTGCCTTAGCAGTATGTGTTTAGATTCACCCATTTTGTTATGTGAATTAAGAGCTTGTTCCTTTTAATGGTTGACTAGTATTCCATTGTATGCATAAACCACAGTTTGTCTATCCATTCATCTAATGAAGGGATCTTAGTTGCTTCCACTTTTTAGCTGTAGTTGTTATATAACTATTCACATGCAAGTTTTTGTGTGGACATAAGTTTTCAAATCAGTTGGGTAAGTATTACCAGGAGCACAGCTGCTGGATGGTAGGCCCAACAGTATGTTTAGCTTTATAAGAAACTGTCAAACTGTCTTCGAAAGTGGCTGTGCCATTCTGCATTACTACCAACAATGAATGAGTGTTCCCGTTGCTCCATATCCTCCTCAGCATTTGGTAATGTACAATATTTTGGATGTTATCCATTCTAATCGATGTTTAATATCTCATTGTTTTAACTTGCATTTTCCTAATAAATGATATTGTGGATCTTTTGGTATGCTAATTTACCATCTGTACTTTTTTTTTTTTTTTTTTTTTTTTTGCGGTACGCGGGCCTCTCACTGTTGCGGCCTCTCCCGTTGCGGAGCACAGGCTCCGGACACGTAGGCCCAGCAGCCATGGCTCATAGGCCCAGCCACTCAACGGCATGTGGGATCTTCCCGGACCGGGGCACGAACCCGTGTCCCCCGCATCAGCAGGCAGACTCCCAACCACTGCGCCACCAGGGAAACCCCCATCTGTAAATTTTTTTGGCGAAGTGTCTGTCCAGTTCTTTTGCCTATTCTTTTTTTTTTTTTTTTAATAATACACAATGTATTTATTTATTTATTTATTTATGGCTGTGTTGGGTCTTCATTTCTGTGCATGGGCTTTCTCTAGTTGTGGCAAGTGGGGGTCACTCTTCATCGCGGTGCGCAGGCCTCTCACTATCGCGGCCTCTGTTGTTGCGGAGCACAGGCTCCAGACGCGCAGGCTCAGTAATTGTGGCTCACGGGCCCAGTTGCTCCATGGCATGTGGGATCTTCCCAGACCAGGGCTCGAACCTGTGCCGTCTGCATTGGCAGGCAGATTCTCAACCACTGCGCCACCAGGGAAGCCCTTGCCTATTCTTTAATGGGGTTATTTTCTTATTGTTTAGTTACAAGCATTCTTTTTTCTATTTTCTTGGACACAAATCCCATTTCAGATAAATGATTTGAAAATATTTTCTCCTGGTCTGTGGTCTATTTTTACAGTATCCTAGCAGAAGTTTTTAATTTCACAAATGTCTGGTAGAAATATAATGTAAGCCACAAATACTGATCACATATGTCACGTTAAACATTCCAGTACCCACATAGCATAAAAAAGTGAAATGAATTTTGATCAAATACTTTGTTTAGTCCAGTTTATCTAAAATGTCAGTTAATAAGGGTTAAATTATAATAATTTACATTTTAAAAAATTAGGACTTTGAAATTCAATGTGTATTTTATACTTACAGCATATCTCATGCAACATTTCAAGTGCTCAGTAACCACATCTGGCTAGTGGCCACCATATTGGACACTGTAGCACTAAACTCTTTCTCTAGGCAACCTAAGTCATACCCTTGCTGTAAATACCTACAGCAGATGATTCACGAATTATATCTGCAGTCCAGGGCTCTCCATGAACTGCAGACCAGTAACTGCTTACTTAATATTACCACCCTGATGGTGCTCATCCATCTCTAAAAATTTCTCTCCAAAAGGGTTTCCAATGTATCCTGACAGACCTGTTTTCAAATCCCAATGTTCCCTATATGCATGGGGCCACCCCAATCACATGGTTGTCCAAGCCAGAAATGTATTTTTTCCTTGACAGTGGCTCTGTTCAACCTCCATTTCAATCTTTTGACAACATATGGAGATTTTATTTCCTAAATATTTTATTATAGGACCTCTTTTGTCATCTCCACTGCCAACATTTTTGTCCAAGCCCCCATCAGCTCTCACCTGAGTTAGTCTCTAACTAGACTCACTGCTCCTAATGTTTTCTTTCTAAAATCCACTCTCCACACAACTGACAAAGTAATCTTAGATAAGAAAAATATTGTCACTAACCATTAACTGAAAGTTAGTATTTCTTTGTTTTGAATATAGCAAATAGACCAGTCACATTAGCTATACCTGTGACTTTATTGCCACTGAAAACCATAGTTATAGTCCTAGCATTTAACCATGGTTACAGATATATCAAAATATTGTTTATGCTCATCCCAACCTCAGAATATTATAATTTTGATCTTGCTATTTGAAGCACAAAGAAGCACAAATATTACTGTATCAAACAATATTTTTAAAACTGTTTCAACCTGGCATTGTTTTATTATTAAAATTCATATTTTACTTCATGTACTTGGAAATTTATTTTAAGAAGCTGTATATAGGATCAACTAGACTTTCAAAGAAATCCATAATACAATAATAGCTAAGAACCCCTGTTTAAGGATTCCAGCAAATACCTTACATATAAAGTAGACTAGAGACAGATGATATAAAAATCAGATGGCAGAGTTCCACTAATAATCCAGTTGGGAGCAGATAACTGAATCTTCCTTGGCTGTTAGACTGATTGCTTCATCAAGGATGACAATTCTACAGCCACAGGATACTGGGGTTACTAGGGTATCCCACTCAATTCATGCATGTGTGTCTGCTGGAAACACACATCTTGATTATTATTGTTTTTATCACTGAAACAATTTCTCACATTACTTCTGCTAACCGTCAGCCCTCTAGTGTGATTGGAGATGAAGAGCTAAAGAACTTGTACTGGGTCAAATGATGATTAACCTCTTCTGGAGAGTGAATTCCTCATTAGAAAAGTCCATTTATTAGTTTCCTAGGGCTGCTGCAGCAAGTTACCAAAACCTGGTTGGCGTAAAACAGAAATATATTCTTGCACTGTTTTGGAGGCCAAGAAGTCCAAAATCACAGTGTCAGTAGGGTTGATTCCTTGTGGAGGCGCTGAGGGAGAATCTATTCTATGCCTCTTACCTGGCTTCTGGCGGCAGCTGGCAATCTTCGGTGTTCTTTGGCCTGCAGCTGCATCACTCCAATCTCTGCCTGCCTCAGTTTTCATATGGTCCTCTACTTTGCATCTCTGATGCCCCTCTCCCTTCTCTTATAAGCATACCCTAAATCCAGGATGATCTCATTTCAAGATTCTTAACTACACCCTATTTCCAAACAAGGGTTACATTCATAGGTGCCAGGGGTTAAGACTTGAACATGTCCTTTTCCAGGACACTCAACCTACTACACTTCATAGATCCTAAGGTTTAGCTTAACATTGACTCACACAAATTTACATCACACTATGTAGATAGAAGTATTTTAGAGTAAATTACAGACAATACAAAGCTTTCCTAAGCTTTACCTAAGCTTAGGATAATAAGGTGCCTAAGCACCTTATTATCTCTCTCATTCATAATCAGCTAAAATGACCTTGTGTGTTTATATCTGCCTCACTAAACTAGAAAGGAAACAGTGAGAGTAAGGACCTCCTCTCTTACACACACAAACACACACACTCTCTTTCTCTCTCTCTCTATCAGTGAATGTTTGAAGA